GACTAAAGAAAACACGTTTATTCACCGCTACACGGCACTGGCTAAACTGTTTCAATTTTCAGTAGCCACCTGCACTTTTTCGGAGCTCTGAAATACTCGCTTTCTCATTGGCTATGTCCACGCATAGGCGTGCTTTACTCCACGTGGACCGGTGAAACTGCCTTTGATCTTATACGGGGGATATTTGCTGTGAAATTTGGCGATTTTTGCAGCAACAGAGCGTGTTAAATATAGATATATAAAACGCACCCGGTATTTCACAGTGTTTCAAATGACTTCAGATAAACTATATAGTTGGACCAGCGAAAGATTGCAAGCCGAAAGAATGCGGACAAAAAATTGCGAAGTTGTCAGATGTTCTACATAAAATGCGGTCCATACATATTAACATATTTAAGATATAGAATTGTTCCGCTGAATTTGGCAATGTAGCTGGAAAACCCAGGCCGCAGGTAAACATCCGGTCGCTGATTGGTCCAAAACTCTTATCTTATCTGAAACTAGAATAACGTGCCGATGGCACGGTCATTTATAAACCTACTCCCATAGGCGTAGGCAGTTGGCAAATACTTTGAAAATATAATTTACTGTTTAGTGGTGATAATGGAATTCAAGCATGGGAAAGTTATTCACAGCCAGGCAAGGGAAATAATAGCAAACGTGATACGTGCTTGCGATGCAGAAGCGGCTAACAATACTTTCGTTTATCCACTGGTAGCTAGAAATGCAAGGGCGGCATATTATACGGGTGTTAGTGAACGAACTATAAGTAAAATTAGAAAAGAAGATAAAGACAGGCAAAATGCAACCTCCACACAGCCTTTAGCTTCTCCCGGAAAAAAGAGATCACGCCCTTCTGTGATCCAAAAAATTGATGGAGTCGATTTTTCCATTATTCGGAGAATGATAGAAAAATTTTACTGTGATTTTAAAGTGGTACCTACTTGTAGTAAACTTCTAATCAAACTGAAGGAAGAAATGGAATTTCCATTTGGTAAAGAATCGTTGAGGCTGCTTTTAAAAGCAAAAGGATTTTACTGGCGTAAATGCCACAACAAAAGGAAATTACTAATGGAAAGACCCAGTATTTTACATTGGCGATACAAGTATCTTAGGTCTATTAAAAAGTTCCGGGAAGAAGGAAGGCATATTATTTATTTGGACGAAACTTGGGTTGATAATGACCTCACTTTCAAGAAATGCTGGCAAAGCGAAGAAATTATGGGTGTCCTGAGCAATATAAGTTCTACAGGTAATAAAGTTTCTTTCACCTCGATTTTGCTTATTATACATTTTTCTCAATTTTGGAATATTCTTAATAAGTGCTCATTTAATTTGTCTAATTGAATACATAATCCCTTGCAAGTATTTTTTTCTCAAAAATATGTTTTTTATACATAGTGATTCAAAAAGGTGTTGGCAAACTTAAAATAACACTAAAATGAGGCTATTTATTCATTTCCAGGACGACTTATAATTGTTCATGCGGGTTCGCAAGATGGTTTTGTTCCTGGAGCCTGTCTCATTTTCAAGGCTGGCTGTGCCACTGGTGATTATCACGGTCAAATGAACCAAGAAAATTTCACGAAGTGGCTTACTGAAAAACTATTTCCTAACATTCCTCCTAATAGTATTATAATAATGGATAATGCACCTTACCATTCAGCTTTGGAAGACAAGCCTCCAACTAGATCTTCTCTAAAAAGAGACATCATCACGTGGTTGAGCAAAAAAGGTATAGAGCATGATCCTAATGCTAAAAAAATGGAGCTTTATGAAATAGCTTGTCTACATAGGCCACCATCTGATGAGAAACATTATAAGATAGATAATTTAATAAGAAGTTTCGGACACACCCCACTTCGAACGCCACCCTATATGTGTCAGTTTAATCCCATAGAGATGATTTGGGCACAAGTAAAATTTTTCATTAGAAGCCATAATACAAGCGGCGAATTTACTATAAAAAAACTAGATGAAATTTCTAATAAGGCCATCGCTTCAGTAAGTGCCAGTGACTGGCAAAAGGTTATTGGACATGTTATAAAAATTGAAGATGAATATTGGGAAAAAGACAGTCTCATTCAAGAAATACAGGAAGAAATAATAATCAACATAGGAGGTGAAAGTGATAGCAATGACAGTTCCTCAGACAGTGATCATGACTCTAATCAGGATTGAAACTATACTAGATTGGCTACCTTTTAGAATTTTTAGATATTCATTTATTATACTATTGGTTTGTGGCTTTTAGTATCTCAGTAGAAAGTCTAATTCTATGTGTTGTTTATGGGTTATTTCATCAAGAAATTACTTTTTGTTTTCCTATATTTTTCTATTCAGTCAGATATTTTTGACTTGTTGTATTCTATTTTAGAAGAATGCATAATTTGTTTTGCTGTTCAATCATAATGCGTACATAGGAATATTACTTGTTGCCTAAAAAATATATTTATTTTGTTCTCAATATTCAGTGTTTGTGTATATTTATTTCTTATAATGTATGTTTGGTATCACGTCATTATGAATCGCAAAAAAATATTAATACTACCAGTTGTAATAAAATATAAATTCAATTAATAATTCAAGTCTCTCCGATCTCCGCCTATGACTCCATATAAAATCGTCTAATGGTAAGGTTTTTTCATCGCATTTCCCCCTTTCGTCCCTAGCAATCTTTGGCTGGTCGATCAATACGTGTCGAGAGCGGCAGGGCCGTAATCGAAGCTTTTTAGAAAATAAAGCTGGTTAAAAAATACGTATGTAGTTTTTACCCACATGCGCGTTCTGACGGGTTAAGAAAAATTCTAGGCTGTATGTTAACCATTTCGAAAAATGCTCTCCTTCCGGAAGATAAATAATATTGGAAACTGTCAATATGACAGAAAACAGGTTTATCAGCTCCCGCGCAAAGAATTTCAAAAATGTTTAGAGTTTTTATAAATGTTAGGATGACGAGGTCACGCGCATCAAGTTTCATATAGCTAGTTTTTCAAATATTTAGTCTTGATACAACCTGAAACAATACCGAAATATTTAATATAATGTATTAAGGACCAAATCTTAGATTTCATTTAAACGTATATTAATAAAATACCTGGAACATCTTCGTATAAAAATTTCGGCTGTCTCTATACAGGGTGTTTCAAATTCGACCCTTACATTGGAAATTGTAACAGATATAGAATTGCCTAAATGGGGGCAAAATTGCATATTTAGGTAATCTACAAGGCACTTTCGGAGAGAACGAATTTCCCAAAATAGTTTCATTTTTTTCCTGGCTTTATTTGTAGTGGGATTGCAAAACAAATTACACATTGACAGTGCCACTTTTCCTCGTCGACAAGATGGCATCATCAGAATTCCAATATTTTCATCTCTTGTTCTCCGGCATCAACTTTATTTTTTCTTCTGATTCCAAAAATGTATCATACGTCGTACATTGATGTTGTCAAACTTTAGTTATACTAAGAACACCCAGTTTAAATGGTTTTATTTTAATAAAAGTTGGTGAATGTATTTACCTTACTGCAAATAACAAGTGAAAAAATTTTCAGCCTTATCAGTTGGACATTCCGGTTTTTATACTGCTTTTTTTTAATTCACTAACACTCTAAAAATGAATATTTCAGCCGCAGTAAAGAATCAACGTTGGCGGATTTTGGTTCTTGACATCCTTTACGATCGGTTACGATGCCTAGAGTACGGAGACCTGTACGATTTCGTCAACTTAGTGAGTTTGATAGGGGCCGTATAGTGGGACTTCGGGAAGCTGGATTTTCTTTTCGGGCAATTGCAGTTAGAGTGCAAAGAAGTGTAGACACTGTGGTTAGGTGTTGTCAGCCTTGGCTTCGAGAAAGCCGTACGCAAAGAGCAAGGGGCACTGGACGCCGCCGTAGAACAACAGACCGTGAAGATCGCCGCCTAAGATTCTTGGCCTTAAGGGACCGTTTCTCCACTACCAGGTCCATTGCAAATGAATGGTTTGCAAAACACGGAAGACCTATTGGCATGCGAAGTGTTTACCGACGAATGAGAAGTTTTGGCTTGTTTTCATACCGGCCACACTGGGTCCTCCCTTTAACTCGAGAACACCGACGTAATCGCCTTGAGTGGTGCAGACAACGGTCACTCTGGGATCAGGAATGGAACAGTATTGTCGTTAGTGACGAGTCTCGATTTAGTTTAGGCATGCACGATGGTCGTGCCAGGGTTAGAAGGCGACGTGATGAAAGGAGGATTCCACAGTTTTTTGTTGAAAGACATGTTCATCACACTGTTGGAGTTATGGTTTGGGGTGCTATAGCTTATGGTTCCAAGTCACCTTTAATCTTCATCAGAGGTAACACGAACGCGCAGCGTTATATCCACGAAGTTCTAGAACCCCATCTTTCACCCTATCTTGACACCCTGGCAGATCCAACAAGATAATACCCGAACACATGTTGCAAGAGTCAGAATAGACTTCTTTCAACATAATGATGTCACATTGTTACCATGGCCACCAAGATCTCCCGACTTATCCCCAATTGAGCACGTGTGGGATATGATGGGTAGGAGATTGCTCAATTTGCAACGTCCTCCTCAGACTCTAGAAGCACTTCGAGAGGAGTTGGTGGTTGCCTGGAATGAGATACCACAGGAGGACATTAACCACCTGATCAGAAGCATGCCTAGGCGCGTTGGAGAATGCGTAGCACATCAGGGTGCATCCACACATTATTAAAGGTCAAAGGGCTTTAAAGCAGTGCAATCATTTTGAAATTTTTATCATTCACTTATTATGCTTCATTAAGTGCTTATACAAAATTTTATTAAAATAAAACCATTTAAACTGGGTGTTCGGATTTATATGTCACTTAGTATATTTCGATTCCGAATTTGAAACACCCTGGGGGCATTTCAGGACCCATCTGTATATGAATTTGTCGTGTTATTTTTCCTGCTATATTTTACTGAAACGCACTGTGTAGTATACAATTCCTAATAGTTATATGTACCTGCAGCAAAAATTGCCAAAATGGGAGCTCCAGTAATCGAACTCTGATATTGCATAGATGGTACGAATACCCTCCATTCTTTACTAGCCAGTCTGACAAATGTACTGTATATAACTGGTAGTACCTCGGTCAGAGCAAGACATACTACTGTGATTGTGAAGGCAGCTATTATAGGTCTGGCCCAGTCGACATCTCTGCTCTCGAAAACTTGGATCAGAGGAATTGCTGTGCCCACGAGCTCTCTAAAATATATCGAATAAAGAATATACAGGCTGTTCCTTAATGATATGCGAATATTTAAGGATGTGAATCTACATGAAAAATTAATGTTAGTTTGCTTTATACACTATGGTCCAAAAATGTTTCTTTACAAAAACTCGGGGTGTTGAAGTTTTAGGAAAAATCATGGAAATTAATTAACATTTTCAGATCCGCTTCAGATATTTCACTGATATTTAGCACATAGTGGAAGTTAATGAAGTTGCGTATTTGTCAATGCAAAAATAATTTTTAACTTCAACAGTGGCGTGCCTACGGGTATTGGCTTCGATATTTTTTTAGGAAAAAATGGTACGCCAATGGTTTTTTGCAAAAAAAAAATAGTTTTGAATTTCCCGTTTATTTCAAAACAAATGATCCCTCAAATTGTTTTCCTTTGATGCGCCATTTTTGAGTGAAAAAATAAAAACCGTTCTATTGTCTAACTGGCAAAATTAGTATTAATTTCATTGGAAAAAGTAAACACATTAGGGGTAATGAACAACAACAACTGACAGCATAAACATAACATCAAAACCAATGAAATGATTACAAAAATTGTTGAAAATTTATAGGTGTCTAGCGATCTTCCTCGTACTCGTTTCAGGATGTTCTTCGACTTCGTGCAGCATTGCTTCCTCAATTTCAGGTGTTCTCACACTTGGAGGTCTACCTTCAGATGTTCCTTTTCGGACAGAACCAGTTTCAGCAAGGCGACGATGCATTTTAGAAATGGTTCGACTATCTGGCAAAGCACGATCGCGATGTCTCTGGTGATAAATCCGTCTGGCTTGCTCACCATTACCGTCGGCAATGCCATGTACGTAATGCATTTATTATTAACAAGATTCTAAGAACTAAATAACAAAAAAGATGTCATAGCGAACAGATTTCAATAACAGAGACTTGTCAGATGTCAAAAGCCAGTGACATATTCCAGAGCAACTAGATATTTAGTGTGCTAAATTGCATTCTTCAATTATTACATTAATTTTCTCGGACAATAGAACGGTTTTTATTTTTTTACTGAAAAATGGCGCATCAAAGGAAAACAATTCAATATCATTTCTTTCAAATTGAACGGCGAATTCAAAAATAATTTTTTATTTGACAAAAAACTACACTGGACAACAAACTTTAGTTTTTTAATTGTATCTTGTGGGAAAAGTGCACTTCTTTGTTAATATTGGGGCGCTGAATCCAAAAATGACAATGAAATAAAAATTTCTGACGCAGCTATTGAAAAGCTGACCCATCTCTATCTAATTCTCTATATCTCTATCTTTTTTGCCATTTAACCAGCTCCTCAGACTTGAAGCACATGTATTACAGCAGATGTGGGGTGCTCACTGTTTGTCTTGATCACCTAGTTTACAACCGAAATAAAGCTGATATGCCTTTGTTATTAGTGGAGTAATAGACCGTCTCTGAGACGCAAAAGTCACATTACCACACACGTAACAAAACTGATATGGATTGTTTACACACTTTCGAGACATCTTGCATGAACGCTGTTAGCCAACTGAGGAAAAAACGGCTAATATAAAACAATATAATGTACCCGTATGTATAACGTAACACAATCATGCCGATTACATCATCTTTACTTGCCGAATATAAAAATGTAGCACATGCATTCTTGTGAATTACAGTATATTAACACTGTCACAGCAGGAACACATATAATTACCGTATCTCTAAAACTTGGACTAATATTGAAAAAATAAGTTTCATTCCGGTTTTAGCACATTAAAAATAGTAATATTTTGTTGATTTTATTTAGGATATTTTTTGGCTGTTGATCAGTGCTATTGGCGTACCATTTTTTTCTTAAAAAATATCGAAGTCAATTCCCGTACGCATGCTACTGTTAAAGCTAAAAATTATTTTTGCATTGGAAAATACGCAACTTTATTAACTTTCACTACGTACTAAATATCAGTGAAATAGCTGCAGCGGTTCTGAAAATATTAATCAATTTCCATTTTTTTCCTTAAACTTCAACACCCCGAGTTTCTTTAAGGAAACATTTTTGGACCATAGTTTATAAAGCAAACTAACATTAATTCTTCATGTAAGTCCACATCCTTAAACATTCGAATATCATTAAGGAACACCCTGCAGATATTGGATTAAAAGTTAATGCATTATGGAAAGTTGGAGAGTCAATACAATTCATGATGTGATTTACAGACAAAACTTCCTAAAACCTAGTCTTGGTCGGATCTAAATTCTGCTTAAACTACTGAGGCCGAGTCATTCAAGTTAACTTCGAAATAAATAAAAACTGGAAAATGTCAGTAGTTGTTCCTCATACGTCTTAAAAGCTATACCATTCACCTACAATCTATTATGAAGTTTCTATGACCGATCAACCCATCAGACAAAAAAACTTTGGATACTATTAACGTATTAAAAATCTATCCTTTTATAGAGAAAACAAAATTTGTCTGACGGCTTGAGATCAATGTGTACAAGAGATAAGTGTGTATCGACAGATGCTAGAAAGAGATAGCAGCCGGCTGAAGTGGTGAGGTTATCACCACATTGTCTAGCGTAGGTGACGCGGAAGGTCGTGCAATCGGTCGCGTTGTCAATATGTTACACCAGAAAATGTTCACATAGGCATCTACAAGAGACTAGGCTACTGTCAAATCTAAGAAGGAATTCGAATATTTGGATCAATATTTTGTTTTCATTTTGATTAGAATTAATCATTTCAATTTTGATGCGACTTAGTGCTTTAATTTATTTTAGAATTAGCTTTGATTTCCATTAATGGTGATGAAATCAACACAGAGTTTTGTTAAACTTTGCGACAGTGAGCAGTATAAAACTGTAACAAATACTATTACGGAATATAAATTATCACTGACCGCGTCTACGCAGGTGAAAACCATTGCGGAGCAGGACGACACTCCCCAGTGACCGCTTGATGGGTATTAATTAAAATCGTTTATCTATGATCATGGAGGTGGAAACCTTGCCTTGGAATGTACAAGCTGCCATGTTGCCAAGCCAACCAATGATGCGTTGTTACAGAATTCGTGGGCGTCCTGACCTTTCATGTCGACTCAAGACATGCGAAGTTAGGACTGATTCGGTACCGATCCTAAGCAGAACCCACACAATTCACAATTCAAAAATTAAGCCACTGTTTTGGCGTTGATAATAAACTAATGCATATTTTCTACACGCATCTTAATTCAAGAAATTGGTTTGACATATCGGCAACGCGGCACATTCACTGGTCAGCGTTGCTAGACAACGCGGAGATGACCTTCGCTATCCCGCCGGCTTCTATCTCTTTCCAATATACAGGGTGTCCGCAAAGTTGGGGTTTTCCTTTTCAGAAACAACTACCCTTGAAATAACAAAGGTAATGTGTAGTGAAACGAGGGCGACCAAGTAAAAACAATAAAGGAAAAAGTACTCACTCTCCAGTTGACGAGAAGGGCTAAGCACGTCTCTGCCCGAAATCATACCGCTCCAACAGAAAATGAAATCAGCTGATGCGCTACCGAGCAGACGCCGGCGGTGGTGCAGACCACGAACAGAGGTAACAAATAAGGCGGCGTTGCCAGGTTTTCAGTTTTTAGGTAAACGTACTTAGGTATTGTTCGAAGTTATCGCCGTTTGATTCAAAAACACAGGTGCGTGCACGACGTAGCCAAGCATCGGTGCAGGCTTTGAGAATGGAGTCCCTCCCCCGAATGAAAGCACCAGCTTGTTCAATTCTGAGACGAAGTTCGTCAACCGTATGCACTTCAGTTTTGAACACTAAGCGTTTCATTTCACCCCAAAGAAAAAAATCACATGGTGTTAAGTCTGGAGATCGCGGAGGCCACGCTACGGGTCCATTACATCCGATCCACCTATTCGGAAATAATTCATTCAAAAACTCACGCACTTCGCGTCTAAAATGGGGCGGTGCACCATCGTGCAGAAACCACATTGATTGTCTTACACTTAATGGCACATCTTCTAACAAGGAAGGCAAAATGTTGCATAAAAAGTCTAGGTATTGCATCCCGTCCAATCGATTTGGGAGAATAAATGGTCCAAGGAGCATACCGTTCACCATGCCAGCCCAAGCATTCACCGAAAATGACCAAACATGAGTGTTGCGAAAGTTGTTCACCCCATTACGCGTGAACGTAGATTCGTCTGTCACCAATATGCACTTCAAAAAGTCCGGATTATTGTCATGTTGATGCAACAACCACTCACAAAACCGCACTCTTAGTGGAAAATCATCAGGTTGAAGGGCTTGTACACGTTGGACGTGAAACGGATACAGCCCCTCTTCACGCAGCGTTTGCCACACTTTAGTTTTTGATACTTGCACTTCTCTAGCCACGTCTCTAGTGCTTGTTGAGGGATTCTCGTCTACGCGATTCAGTAGTTCTTCCTCAACTTGCACCATTCGTGGTTGTCTAGGCCTCCCACTGTGCCCACCTCGAAATTCCTCCAAATGGCCCGTATCCCTGACTCTCTGGACCAGGTACATAAATCTACGGGGCCTTGGATGATGTCGTCTAGGTAAACGATCTGCATACACTCGCGACGCCTCTGTAGCATTTTGAAGACATTCACCATAAATTAACAACATATCAGCAAGTTCATTATTGGTGTATGAGTGTGCCATTATTATTTTTTTTTGAAACGCAATCGATTATACGGGTTCGTTTACCTCTACACGCGTGACCGTAACCGTCGGTTGAAGGTTGCATACTGACCTGACATACTGACCCCGACCCAGTTCTGTCGTCGGGTTGAGCTAGTGTCCTAGTACCACTCGGGGATGTCGCGGGTCGCGGCTACAGGACGATATTCAGATATTTTTGATGTTGCAGAGCCCTTTATCTCGGTTCCCTTAAAACATTGGTGTATATGGTACTAAGATAAATTGCTTATGTTTTCAAGATCTACACGTCGTGTAAAGGAAAACCTCAACTTTGCACCCTGTATGTGTCTATACACACTTCACTCTTCAGTGTAGGTATAGCAAGTTCTAGGCAAGATCGTGAGGCTACTCAGACAGGTTCTCCCCACTTTGTTTCTTAAACGGGTCAAGAAAGCATGCTGAAATTCAGTGATGGAAGAATACTATATTTCAATAAAAAGAGGAAGCTGAAAATTTCAAGAGTATTTTTAAATATACTGGGGGGTTATATTCTGAAGCTCCTTATCGACACTTTTTAATACTAGCGGGCTATGAAAGTTGTGTGTTTGAGTACATTGAATCACATATAACTTACTAATTAAGCATCTGAACGGTATAGTATGTTATATCAATTCCTTTTTTGGAAAGATTGACTAGAATGTGCAAGAAACTGTGAGATATTCCGTATAGAAAATTGAAGAAGATTGAGGATTTATTTATTTTTTTATTGGCGTTATTTTATTACGTATTCCGGTAGATCCTTCCAAGAGAAGATTGATGTAACGTAATCTAGCGTTTCGATAATTTCTTGCTGAGTTATAAGCGATTCAATGTATGAATGCGCTCAACTTTGACAGCCTGTCGGCCCGTCACTTTACCCCATTCCACTTAGAAGAAATCGCCATTTTGAAACTTGCAACTGATACTTTGGAAACTAAACATTAGTAGGGGAGGGGGCGCGTTGCTTGAAAAGCACTGTACAGCTGTTTCTTGGGGCAGTCGTTCTGCAAGCCATGCTGTCCAGATATACAGGGTATTTTCAAAGTTGAGTCATTTATTTTAAGTGATTTAAAAGTTGCACAAGTAAACAAACAGTAAACGATTAAAATTTTAAAAAAGCAAGAGTGTCATTACACAACTTTTTTTATATTCTCGACCGTATAAAGTCTTAGCGTCTTTTGTTTATTATTCTTATTGTTTATCGTTGTATCAGTCTTTTAATAGTGCGTATGGTTTCATTTGTCTGATTATTTTGTGTAAGAAATGGCCCACGTTTACGAAAACAATGAGCTTCTAATACTAACATACGGGGAGCGCCAACAAAATGCGGCCGCAGCATGCAGGTTGGATGCGGAAAGGTTTCCGTTAAGAAATCATCCGGCCCCACGGATGTTTGTAAATTTAGTTATTAGGCTTCTTGACACAAGATATTTAAAAGAACAATGAGAAGGTCACGATGGAAGATCTGCTCAACATGAAATGTTACACATTAAGGAAGACATTCTAGAAATTGTCGAAGACGATCCAATGTGCACTAGAGACATAGCAGCTCAATTTGAAGTTTCTGATAGTAAAGTGTGGAGGACAATACGACAAGAATAGTACTAGCCTAATCATTGTCAACGGGTACGTATTTTACGAAATAAATTTTGTGTACAGACGAGGCCACATTTACTCGAAATGGAATGCACAATTTCCACAACAATCATGTTTGGGCAGTAGGAAATCCCGACACTGTACTGAGAACTCATTTCCAAGATAGACTTTCATTAAATCCTTGGGCTGGCTACTTTTTCCCACCTCGACTGACCGGTGAAATTCATTTAGAGCTTCTTTGACACAATCTGCCAAAATTATTAGAAGATGTTTCTCTAAATGTAAGACAGAATATGCGGCTCCTACATGATGGGTTTTCACCACATTTTAGTGAACATCTAAATAACGAGTCTTCGAATAGATCGATAGAGCGCAATGGACCCATTTCTTGGCCTGCTCGCTCTCCAGATTTAACGCCCTGCGATTTTTTTCTGTGGGGCTATTTGAAAGAGTTGGTGTATCATGATGGAGCAGTAAATACTCTAGAAGAACTTCAAATGTGAACTGAAAATGCTTGTGATTTAATTTATGGACACTATGGTTTTATTTTCGGAAATTGCAAAGAGTTGTGGATTCGCTGAGCAAGATTTTGCATTGATCGAACAAATGTGGACAATTTGGAACAGTTTATAAAAGGTATATAAAAGGTGTCCATTTAACTTGATAATGATTTTTTATGTAATAATGTAATAATATATTAACTCTTTTATTATGCAACTTTTATATAGGCGATTTTTGGTACATCAACATCTTTTGACGATTTCTACAAATGACTCAACTTTGAAAACACCCTGTATAATTATGTATGTTCTACAGGCTATGTGACGTATCTGCGTGATCAAAATAGAAGCAACCAATCTACTTCTAGAAGTTTACCTATACCGAGTCATCATTGAAAAGACAACTGTAGTCACGGTATAGAAGATCAACGGATTGAGGACCATGGTACTAAATTTTAAGCAGTTGTTTTTCTGCGTTATCGGGATGTAATGCACGAAAGCAAACGTACAACTGGTGGCTGCTGCTATGACCTAAAATAAATACAATTATTAATACGATTTTTTTTTGATATTTTCGTACACATACCCTATGGTAGGAAAGCACTTTCAGTCTCTCGCACCATTTCCAAAATTTTATCACAGTATGGAAACTTCCAATAGTAGCAAAGAACGCAAAGTTACCCAGGAGCGCTACGAGTAGCAGTGCGGATATTGTTGGTGATTTCTAAAACAAATTAATCAATATTCATACTTTCAGCCATAGTTTACGATAATGGTCAGTATCAGTATTTCGTTATAGAATTTTGATGCAGTTGGAGCATTCTTCACTTGCTGACTATAAAGTTAGGTAGTCAAAAATGGGCCAAGCTGCAGAAACAATTTTTAGAAAAATTTTTAAATGGAATAATATACTAAGTGACATATAAATCCGAACACCCAGTTTAAATGGTTTTATTTTAATAAAAGTTGGTGAATGTATTTATCTTACTGTAAATAACAAGTGAAAAAATTTTCAGCCTTATCAGTTGGACATTCCGGTTTTTATACTGCTTTTTTTTAATTCACTAACGCTCTAAAAGTGAATATTTCAGCCGCAGTAAAGAATCAACGTTGGCGGATTTTGGTTCTTGACATCCTTTACGATCGGTTACGATGCCTAGAGTACGGAGACCTGTACGATTTCGTCAACTTAGTGAGTTTGATAGGGGCCGTATAGTGGGACTTCGGGAAGCTGGACTTTCTTTTCGGGCAATTGCAGTTAGAGTGCAAAGAAGTGGTTAGGTGTTGTCAGGCATGGCTTCGAGAAGGCCGTACGCAAAGAGCAAGGGGCATTGGACGCCGCCGTAGAACAACAGACCGTGAAGATTGCCGCCTAAGATTATTGGCCTTAAGGGACCGTTTCTCCACTACCAGGTCCATTGCAAATGAATGGTTTGCAGAACACGGCAGACCTATTGGCATGCGAAGTGTTTACCGACGAATGAGAAGTTTTGGCTTGTTTTCATACCGGCCACACTGGGTCCTCCCTTTAACTCGAGAACACCGACGTAATCGCCTTGAGTGGTGCAGACAACGGTCACTCTGGGATCAGGAATGGAACAGTATTGTCTTTAGTGACGAGTCTCGATTTTGTTTAGGCATGCACGATGGTCGTGCCAGGGTTAGAAGGCGACGTGGTGAAAGGAGGAATCCACAGTTTTTTGTTGAAAGACATGTTCATCACACTGTTGGAGTTATGGTGATCTCCCGACTTATCCCCAATTGAGCACGTGTGGGATGTGATGGGTAGGAGATTGCTCAATTTGCAACGTCCTCCTCAGACTCTAGAAGCACTTCGAGAGGAGATGGTGGTTGCCTGGAATGAGATACCACAGGAGGACATTGAGCACCTGATCAGAAGCATGCCTAGGCGCGTTGGAGAAATCGTAGCACATCAGGGTGCATCCACACATTATTAAAGGTCAAAGGGCTTTAAAGCAGTGCAATCATTTTGAAATTTTCATCATTTACTTATTATGCTTCATTAAGTACTGAAACAAAATTTTATTAAAATAAAACCATTTAAACTGGGTGTTCGAATTTATATGTCACTTAGTATATAATAGTAACAGCAGAATTCGGCTCTTACTACCTATAGAAAGATTCGCTCTTCCATTCAACCGAAAAAAGAAATACAATAATTGTTCACCTAGACCTTACCGTGATCCAAGAAACTTGACTCAAAAAGAGTTAAAGGAAAACAGAAATGAAAGACTGTTGTGTACACAGAAAACGAGTTGAATTTTGTATGCTTCATAATATTATTAAGAAGTCACGATCGGTTTGAAAATAATTTTCATGTCTTTCTATTTTTCGGAAATGAGGTTTAGTGGGAAACATTGCGCTTGGTTAACATAAAACAGTCACAGCTAAGTGAGACACCAAAGGCTGGAGTCTACAACTATTTGCAGCATTGAAAAATGTCTTAAATCGCCACTGCGTTCGTGGTGTCATCACATCCACAAAGTACTGGTACCTAGCTCAACAGTTTTATGTGTTTTAGATACAATTGTTTGACCATCCATTTTATAACCCTGATATGGTGCCATGAGATTTTGGCTTTTATCCGTTTGCGAAGTCACAGTATTGACATAATTGGAATCAAACTTAGATATAAAAATGAAGTGACTTATTTCTTTGTGATATACATACCGCCTGACACGAGTACTTCCTGCTATGAAAGATTCTTTGAACATCTAGAATCGCTTGATTACCTCTTTGGCAAAAGTATTTATATACTAGGTGACTTTAATGTTCCCGAATTTGTTAATGAAAATCACCTCCAATCTTCTCACAAGCAGAAAACAATTCAGTCATTTATGGGTAATTCTTCGATCTTTCTCAATTCAATGATGTTCGGAATGAAAATAATAGGCTATTAGATTTAGTGATATCAAATAAACAATGTAGCGTCGTTAAGGCTTATGATGACCTACTACCTGAGGATGTTCACCATCCTCGGCTTGTCATGATAATCAACATGAGCTTCCATTCTAAAAAGAGTATCAAATGCGCCAGAGAATCATATAATTTCAGTAAAGCCAATTTTGTAGCACTATATGAACAAATAAGCTTGGTTAATTGGACGTTTCTTGACAATTTAACAGATGTAAACGTAGCTTTGGAAACATTTTATAATATTCTTCGTAAAATTTTTAATATGTGTGTCCTTAGGACAAGTCTCAGATCTCTCAAATTTCCTGTTTGGTTTAACGGTGAAATTATTAGAGACATTAAAAGAAAAAATTTGCTACACAAAAAGTTTAAAAAGGATAAAAGTTTGATCACATACACTGAGTTCAAAGACTTAAGGACCAAAATTAAGCGCGATGAGCGTAACGCATATCAAAAATATCTAGTAGATATCCAAAGTAGCCTATCTCAGGATCCGAACAATTTCTGGTCATTTATCTGTAATAAAAGGGGACAAAATTCCACAATCAGCCAAGTAAACTATAATGGTAAGCAGTATGACAAACCCAATGAAATTGCTAATGCTTTTGCGCTATTTTTTCAATCTGTATATACTATGCCCTCGAACGCAACTGATATCAATATTTCGGACTTGCATACTAACATAATACTTCAGATCTTTTCCGAAGAAGAAGTTTTAACAGTGTTAAAGCAAATGAAAAATAAATTTACCTCCGGACCCGATGGAATCCCATCATTTTTAGTGCGTGACTGTGCCTACGTCTTAGCTCATCCCTTGACAAAGATCTTCAACCTATGTTTAAAGACTGACACGTTTCCTGAAATTTGCGAATCAAAGGTGCCTCCCATTTTCAAGAAGGGTGATAGACTACAGGTTGAAAATTATAGACCGATAACCCTAGTATGTATCTTTTCCCAGGCCTTAGAAACTTTGCTTCATAATTTCCTATACCACAATACACATTCCCAAATAAGTACTTCTCAGCATGGCTTTATGAAGGGTAGATCAACCATAACTAACCTAGCCTGTTTTACTCAGTCAGTCTCCTCTGCATTAGATGCTAATAGCCAGGTGGATGTAATTTATACAGACTTTAGTAAAGCATTTGACAAACTTGATCACAGTATTCTGTTAACGAAGCTGAGCTATTTTGGATTCTCCCCCAAGCTGTTATCCTTTCTTAAGTCATATCTATCAGGAAAAAAGCAATATGTTGAATATGAGGGTGTCAAATCCATTGAATTCTTCCCAACCTCAGGGGTACCTCAAGGCTCCTGCTTAGGTCCTTTGCTTTTCATACTGTTCATAAACGATATTGTTAGCGACATCGACAGCAGCCACTTAATCTATGCTGATGATCTGAAATTTTTTTCCAATGTCGACTGCAGCACTGACTGTGCTCACTTACAAAAAGACCTAGCCAAAATAGTTAAATGGTGTGCTGTAAATCGACTTCCAATTAACTACAGTAAATGTAGTGTTATGTCGTACACCAGAAAGCTAGATTTTATTGCATTTGACTACAGAATTGGCAATCATTCTCTGCTGAGAGTACAAGAATGCAAGGACCTGGGTGTGATTTTTGACATGTCACTTAGCTTCAATCCTCATATTGAGTACCTTATTAATGCTATCAACAGATTATTAGGATTTGTAATACGTAACTCAAAGGAATTAAGTAACAAAGATGCCATGATTATGCTTTATAATTCATTGATACTGTCTAAATTAGAATATGGACGGCTAATCTGGAATCCATGCTATGTTACAACTTGTGGCTCTCTGGAGAAGATTCAGCGGAAATTTCTGAAATTTCTTTCATTCAAAATTGACGGTACGTACCCACCCATTGGGGTCCCATAGGAAGACCTGTTACGTAAGCACAAATTTATCAGTCTTGATAATAAAAGAAAGATTCACTCGCTAATATTCCTGCATAAAGTAGTGCATAGCAGTTATGATTGTCCATCATTTCTAGCACAGATTAAATTTAATGCTCCAAAATTTGTTACTCGCAATACACTCACTTTTTACCTACCTACCCCACGAACTAACTTACTGTTGCACTCACCTTTGTACTCGATGTGTTCATGTTACAATAGTCTACAGAGTACATTTGATTTGTTCAACACAAGTATTTCAAATATTAAGAGAGTTTGCAGTGAAATGATTTAGTTTTAGTTTTCGTTGTATTTTTATATGTTTTTTTTACTATTTCTATTGTTGTTTTGCCACCAGTAATTGGTTAACACTGTTGGTGGTGGATTTCAATAAATAAATAAATAAATAAATAAATAAATAAATAAATAAATAAATAAATAAATAAATAAATAAAGAAATAAATAAAAGAAAGAGCGCAGGTTCGCATCCAAAGACGAGGTGGGAGGCGTTGTGCGATTTTATTTACATGGAGCAATGGAGGCGCTGATCATCAATTCATCATCAATTTGATCTTAAATATAGTGGAGTATATTCAATATGCTATATTAAAAACAACGAATTGTTTTTCCAAATAGGCCAAGTATGCGAGTAGCCTCAAAGTGGTTCCTTGAGGGTACCCAACAACTTCTTTGGCCAATAAAAGACCACAAGTATTTGAAACTCTCCTTGAATGCTTTAATCACGAATATTTGATTTATCTGTCTTCCATAGGAATATGTTAATGAAAAGATAAAATAAACAAGCTGTCACCCGAAAGACAGAGCAACCAAATAGATGTCATTGTACTGAAGCACATCACCTTTGTTACGGAAACGTTTACATTAAATAATTTCAAATGCTTGTGGCTTTCATTGGCAAGGGGATTATTGACACATTATAAGTTTCAGATGTTACATTAACCGACATCGATGCACCTACCTCCAATCCCATCATGAACATAACAGCCACACAGACCACCACAGCTACACCAAGGACGTCAGGCCATGGTTCGCCGAGCGAATGTTGTTCCAGACCAAACAGATACCTCCTGAACCTGCCTCCAGTGACGTAATCTACAGTGGCTGAAGCTGACCTGGCAGCGGTCGCAGCTGCGCACAGCTGAGCCAGTGCGTCTGACCACAATACCAGGAAAGGGAGCAGGGTTGAGGGCCTACGGCGGTTCTGGCGATCACAGTTGGCTTGGGCGGCTGATTCTGACAGCCATGGTGATACGCATAGGGCTGGAAAGAGGCAACATGTATAATATAGGATCCTTTTAGGAAGTTCAATATTTGTTTATTATATGATATTGTGATATACAGAGTGTTTCAGAACTATGGGATCAAACTTGTAGGGGTTATTCAGTGTAACAGTTTTTTTAATAGTAGGAATAGCCACGTTTGGGACAAAGAAAATCCCCATGCAATTTTTCCTAGAAACCATCAGCAACGTTGGTCTGTCAACGTATGGGCAGGCATTGTTGATGATTATTTGACTGGGCCATACCTTCTACCGGAACGGTTAACAGGACCTATTTACCGGCGTTTCTTGGAGTAAGTTCTTACAGAACTTCTTCAAAATGTTCCATTGAACGTTCGACAGCAAATGTGGTTTCAGCATGATGGAGTGCCGGCTCCCGTTGCTGTAAAAGTACGTGAGTGTTTGGCTCAGCGGTTTGGGCACCGTTGGATTGCCAGAGGCGGAGCAGTTCCATGTTCTCATAGGTCACCCGAATTTAACGTGGCTAGATTTTTCCTGTGGTTTACGAAACTCCAGTAGAAACAGAGCAAGACTTAATTGGACGAATTACAGCAGCATTTGAAATCATTCAAAACGAGTATCAAATTTTTAGTCAAGTTCAGGTTGGAGGAAGAGATTTTGAACAATTGCTGTGATGATATCATGTACAAAAGGCAAAAATTAAATGCATTAAATCCTATTTAGGCAATTCATCGTCTTTCTAAATTTTAACGCGTCTTAGGGCCGTAGTGCCGTAGTGACACTCTTCCGGATATGGGTCCATATACTCAATGTTTTCTACTGTTACACTGAATAACCCCTAGAAGCTTGATCTCTAAGTTTTGAAACACCCTGTAGACTGTCTGTGCTTGTCTACGTTCATAATAATAATAAGACTGATAACATTTCTTAATGCATTGTACGAGCTTTTCACTAGCATTTTATACATGCGTATACTCAAAACCCGGTATTTATCAGCGTATATTACCCTGTATATAGCCCTGATAATTCAAATTTTATTATTTTTGGTCCCAAAAAAATGAGGAATCTTCTTACGAACAGAATAAATACACTGGACAACAAATTTTAGTTTTTAATTGTATCTTGTGGGAAAAGTGCACTTCTTTGTTAATTTTGGGGCGCTGAATCCAAAAATGACAATGAAATAAAAATTTCTAACGCAGGTATTGAAAAGCTGACCCATCTCTATCTAATGCCTTGACAAAGTTTTTCATTAGGCCCAACTTGATATGCAGTGGTGGTAATAATTTTTTTTTCGAATCTACTAATGGCATATGCTGTAAATTTTTTTGACCTGGCTCTAGGAATTGACGAACAGGCCAGTTTTGTCTGGTGTAATGAAGTGCCTTTGCCCGACTGTCCCATTCACACAAAACACAGCAAAACCTTGTGTAGCCTAGCTGCAGCCCAAGTAAAAGTGCAACAACTTTCAAATCGCCACAAATATGCCATTGGTGCTCATCGTATTTTATGCATGTCAATCGGTACTTCATATTGTCATATGATTCTTATGTGAACTGCATACCCTACAGGAAGAGATGGTAAAATATTTCCAATATGCAATAACACTGCCTTTAAACTCAATGTTGAACTGTCTATAAACAATATCCATTCTTCTGGGTTATAGTTTATATTTGAAGCCGCCAGTAAGCCGTTAATGTTACTGCAGAAAACCAAGTTATTCTCCATATTGAAAAATGGTTCCAAGTCTTTGTGGCGTTTACGAAAAACACATACCGAAACATCGTCTTCTAACAAGTTCCACTGCTGCAGTCTTGATCCAAGTAACTCTGCCTTACATTTTGGAAGTTCTCCTACAAGATCATTTAATTCTGACTGTGTTATTTTGTGCGGTTGGTGGCATGACGTGCTCGGTATAAAATCAGGATCTCTTGATGTTGATGGCATATCTTCTTCCTGACGAATCACTCGATCGCCATGATCTGATTCGTTTTCTGATTCGCAAGTGTAGGATTCTGGGGGTTTTGGAATAGGATCTTCGTCACTGTGAGGCACAGGTCTCATCGCAGATGGTATGTTTGGGTAGTTAATAACCGCTTTTTTTTCTTGGACTTACCTGTGGCTTGTCCAACACAAGGTACCATGCAAAAGTAACAATCATTAATATGATTTGTAGGCTCTCTCCAAACCATTGGGACAGCAAAGCGCATAGACCGTTTTTTGCTATTTAACCAGCTCCTCAGACTTGAAGCACATGTATTACAGCAGATGTGGGGTACCCACTGTTTGTCTTGATCACCTAGTTTACAACCGAAATAAAGCTGATATGCCTTTGTTATTAGTGGAGTAATAGACCGTCTCTGAGACGCAAAAGTCACATCACCACACACGTAACAAAACTGATCTGGATTGTTTACACACTTTCGAGACATCTTGCATGAACGCCGTCAGCCCACTTAGGAAAAAATGGCTAATATAAAACAATATAATGTACACGTATGTATAACGTAACACAATCATGCCGATTACATCATCTTTCCTTGCCGAATATAAAAATGTAGCACGTGCATTCTTGTGAATTACAGTATATTAACACTGTCACAGCAGGAACACATATAATTACCGTAACTCTAAAACTTGAACTAATATTGAAAAAATAAGTTTCATTCCGGTTTTAGCACATTAAAAATAGTAATATTTTGTTGATTTATTTAGGATATTTTTTGGCTATTGATCAGTGATATTAATATCAATGGCGTTACAATAAATAGGCAAACTGAAATAAAAAATTTAGGTGTACTTCTTGCTGAGGACCTGCGTTTTAAAAATCGCATAACAAACTGTATCGTAAAGGCTTTCAGCAACCTGAAAAGTATCTGGCTATAAAGGCTATAGAGATTTGTTGAATATGAATACCAAAATTTTATTAACAAATCTTCTTGTGCTATCACATTTTAACTTCTGTGACGTTCGGTATAATAAGTTTATAGACCAAAATGATGCAAAAAGAATACAAAAGGTTCCAAACTCGTGTTTACGACTCATCCATGGAATTCGACGTAGAGAAGGCATTTCACATAAGTTAGTAGAAAGAAGCTGGCTAAATATGAAAGATAGACGAGAGCTGCTTAGCGCATGCTTCTATCATAAGGTTGTAACTATGAAAACTCCTTCAAGTTTATATAATAAAATAACGCTTCGCCCAGATGCACACAATGTAAATATAAGGTCTAAAACCACGATCACACCACCAGCTCATCATACTGCTCTATTTGAAAGATCTTTTTCTTATAACATTTCCAAAATATATAACGCTGTCCCTCAATACTTGAAATCCAAATCGCTATATAATTTTTCAAAATGCTACTTCCATTTTCTGAGATCACGCTACAATAATTAATAACATCGAATATCTAAATGTTTTTTGTTTCTATGCACATACCTACGAGTATATTACATATATATGATTATACCTACCTTACATTGTACGCTTTTCCCTAATTTCTTTATGTCTTTGTTTGTATTCTGTTAATTTTTTCATTTCTTCTATATATATTAGTTATTCATGCTTTCAAAAAGGCTATTGTTTGAATATTACTACGGTAACATATACTACTCGTATATCTTTACTTTTAAGCTTTTAAGTTAGTTAAGTAAGTTTTATTAGGTTAAGTGGAAGACCAGCCATTCCTCTATAGGAATGAAAGCTGAACTTCGCCTTTTCCAAGTATCACTTCCATATCTCTGTACCTTGGTACCAACGAATAAAGATGATTATTATTATTATTATTATTATATGAGCAGCGGCTATCAAAGAAAGTTCGATCCCTTAATTCTGAAGCACCCTGTATAAAGGTGTTGTAGGAATTGTCTTTATTAATGATTTTCGCTTGAGACTAAACGTCATCATTCATTTTTCGCTGTTGATTTAAAAATTTACTATACTATCGTAACTTCCGAAGACTGTCATTTTCTCCAAAATACGTTATCAGTTCATGGTGTTTCGAAAACCTCTTCACACAAAATGTGTCAAAATGTAAAGTAGAAACATATTGTAGGAAACAAAATGTTTATGATCACATGAGATTAGTAATAGTTGTGAAGACCTAGTTGTTACATTTGATGCCAAGTTCACTTTTAATAACACTACTGGTCAACACTGGTTTTGCCACACGAACTTTGACAGCTAATTTTTATCAGTCCACCCTCATTATTACATGACAGCTGTCATATGTCTATTAGCCTCATATTTGTTGTGATACGGTAATACTCATAACTAGTACTACGGCAGTAAATTAACAGAAACACTTACAAGTAAATCTTTATAAAAATATTTGTTGTTGAATTTGAACACTTTTTTGTGATTTATTAACCCTGTGAATATGTCGAGGTAGTGTAATAATGATCCTAACACTTTTTGTTATGTCTGCGGAGAACTAACATTCAAAAAACAACGACGAAATTTTACGAATCTTGTGTTGGAGTGTTATCACCAATGTTTTGGTTTTTCTGTCGCCCATCAAGACAAATCCTGGGCCCCTCATGTCTGTTGCATAACGTGTGTGAAAAATGTAACTGACTGGAAGAAAGGTGAACGACCTATGCCGTTTGCTGTACCCATGACATGGACTGAACAGCAGATCACGTTTCAGATTGCTATTTTTGTCCCACAGACATAAAAGGTATAAATTACAAGAAAAAAACCACAGTTATTTACCCTAACGTATCTTCGGCTATAAGACCAGTCTCTCATTGTAAAAAATTGCCAGAACTAATACCAGTTGCAACTACGTCTGTTGAGAACAATTCACAACCGTCCACTTCAGGTGAATGTGTTGACGAGGACGATGACTTTGAGTTAAAAGGAATTGTAAACGAGCCACATTTGATAACTCAAGGAGACCTAAATGATTTGGTTCGGGATTTTGTCAAAAAAGCAGTCAGAACTATTAGGATCACGTCTAAAAGAATGAAATTTGCTACATCATAACACAAAAGTTAGCTATTTTCGAAACCGTGATCA